CCCCAAAACCCCAAAACCCCAAAACCCCAAAACCCCTTAATAAGCACAAATTATTGAAGATTATTTGTTTAAATTGCTTCGAAAAGTCAGCACTAGAGACCTCTTTATCAATCAAGAATGGTCTGAAGCAGAGAGGTGCACCCTAAAACCTAAATTCGGATGAAACCAGTGATACCAAAAATCCAAATATCTTAATAATTATTGAAATTATTCATTTTCATCCTCTTCCATTACTTTATGTCTTCTGAGAAGCAACAACGAATTTTTAGGACTTTTCAATTGAGTTTCCATAAGTGGGATTCCATGATTTTTGAACTCTTTACCAGACTCTAGTCGAAGAGGATTGAGACCCCCTACTTTATCTGAAAGGGAAGGGAACCTATACAGGTTATGGAAGGAATACATCAGTTTTCCATGCGAACGTTTCCTGAGTATTGGGGTATTTGGCATTGCAAATTTTCCTGTCTCAAATTTTCTCGCCTTTCGTCTTCTCACAGGACTAAAGCTAACAAAGATATTTACGTTTCTATTTCTTCACTAGAGGAATCTTCGATCTTGAAATTGGGGTCTCTGAACCAAGTGAATTGGTTGCTAAGAAGTTATATACAAGATTACTCAGCTAGTTCTTTGTTTTGGATTATCCTACAGATTACTCAAAATAGCTTACAAATTTCTGTTGTATGCAATATGCTTTTCGTTCATCATTTCACGGTAGACATTAAAATGAGGATCGTTCTTAATCTCTTCATTTTCACCCTTCTCAAGGAAGGTGGAGATATCTTCAAGTTTGAATTCTTCAGCCTTAGCTTTATTGCCGTTTGTCTTTTCTTCCTCTTTCTTGCCTTTTGTGGTTGCACGGCTATACTAAGACTTGGGTCTTACCTATTCTTCTTACCCATTTGCATGGAAAGATTATTTGCTTTGTTGGTCAACGATTTTCCTCTATAAAATATAAGAAAATCGATACTTTTTCAAACCAGTGTTTTCTTGATTTCCTTTAGTCCGACGGTAGAACTTAAGAATGGCCTTGCCAGCCTCTATAGTGCCTGTATCCATCGATTCAACTAAGGATTAACTGGAAATTTACCTGGCTTGAACCGCTTGAGGTTGTTATATTTTCCTTCCCATTGCTTGTTCAACCTTTTCTTGATCTTTTCAGTCAGATCATAGGCTAGTTTGTTCTTTTTGAAAATCTTCTCGACTAAGGCCTTTGCCACATCTTTGAAGTGGACATTTTCATCATAAATTGGGATTGCGTAGTCATTAAAGATCTTGATAGCATCAGATTTATTTTATATAAATCTTCTTTGCAGGATGGATCATGTAGCGATCTTGAAGACCAAGATTGTTAGTATTTTTATGGTTATCCTTTATTTCATCGTTGACTGGAGCATCACCAATTTCGTTATCGTTTTGATTATCAGAATAGTAGGTTGTGAATTTTCCTAGACCTAGGGGAGGAGGCACTTCGTAGAGCAAGAACAGAAAGTCTTGGTAAGAAATTAGTCCAGAAGCATTTACATCATAGTCTTTCCATTTCTCAATAAGAAATTCTATCTGTTCCCCACTGACATACCCTGTATTTTCCTTGCTGGCTTCTGCAAGACCTTCAATTACTGCAGCTACCGAGAGGTTCATGATGACCATACTAAGGAGAATCATATAAGTAATGAAATAAATATATGAAATTTCATTTCCACAACCAAGAACTCCTTCTTCTTGTCTTTCTAAATAAGTTTGGTTATCTTTGCATTCTACTCCATTATATTCACCTTTGAGTGCAAGTTCCTTCATGATCAAATTCCAATTTTCTCCAGTAAGTCACCTTAAAAGAAGCAGGATTGAGGCAAATAGAGTACGGAAATTGGCTCTTTCATTGTAGTAGTCCTGGTACATTACCGTTGCAAATAAGTTAAGACCCAAGACTGCATAGATAAACAACAGTAGGAATACTAGTGACATGATATTAGTAACCTGCGGCATGATATACCCAATAGTGTCAAGGATAATAGCCATATTTTGGGAACTCTTGACTAGTCTGAAGATTCTCATAATCCTGAAAGCTCTCACTACCGTTGCTACAGTTGAGATATTGATTCCAGTGTTAATAACGTTCATCAGGAGACCAACATCTGTACCAACCACTATAGAGACATCAAATTTATTCCATGAATAGTAGAAGTATGATTTTCCATAACCAATAATCTTGACTATAGCTTCAAAGTTAAAGATTACTGCAAATCAATAATTAAAATACTCTAAAACTTTTTCATAAGTCTCATCCATTCTGGAATATTTCAAAGACATTATAAGTGTGTTTACTAAAATACAGCAGGTGATGAACCACTCAAATCCTTTACTTTGAGCAAAGTTGAGACATTTGAGTCGAAATCCTTTTGTAGGCTTTTGCTCTTGTAATTTTAACTTCTTTCTCATAATGATCCTTTGGATTTCAATCCACTTTTTCTGAGATTCAGTTACGAACATATTTCCAAGTTCTTCATTAGTCTTGATCTTATTGAAATTATCAATGACAACTCCAACGAAGAGGTTGAAAATGAGCATACTTCCAACTACCATGAATGCAATGAAGAAAAGAGAAAGAATAACATTAGTGTTCTTTTTGGGCTCCTTGCCGATGCCCCTAGCATCTATTCCGTTGTACATCACATCGAGCCAGCCTTCTGTAGTCATCATCTCAAACAGTGTGAGACTTGCCGTGAATATATTATCAAAGTTGCTATCATGGTTTTCCCATTTTCCACCGAATTTGAGGCAATCTTCTTGGCCATCAATTTGCTCTACGTTCACAAAACTTGTGTTAGTGCTACTGTATGTCTTGAAAGTGCAATGATAGAACTTTCCAGCAAATAAAGAAATTCCGGTACTTGCAAAGATCAAAATGAATAACAAGCAAACTACCAGCACATTGGTCATTGATGGGATAGATGCGAATAAGGCATTTACGACTAGTCTCATACCTTCATTTCTAGAGATCATTCTAAGGGGTCTGAGGGCTCTGAGTGCTCTCAGAGCTTTTAGAGACTTTAATTGTTCTGTATCTACAGAATCTGTATCCTGAATGTATACAAATAAATCTAGAATGGAGGCAGAGACCACTATGAAATCTAGGATGTTCCAGCCATTCGTGATATAGGGCTTTCCTTTTATACTTGTATGGATGAAACCAAGCCCTATGATTTTGATAACTGCTTCACAAAAGAATAGAAGTGAAAATAACATGTCGATTATTCCTAAAATGTTGGACCATTTTGATTGAGGGTCGTTCAAAGGATTGTCAGCTATATTTGAGGAACATGACATACCTATAAGTAGCAGACTACTAATAAGGATCAGGACTATTATTACATAATCAAAATATTTTGAAGGATGAGAGTTGAATCTGCAGCATCTAGAGAGTCATATTAGAGATCTACTTTTTCTTCTTGCTTTCCTCTGCTATCTCTTTTGCATCTGTTTTAGCCAAATTATTACTATATTTTAGATTGAGATCATACTTTTGGTAGATTTCATCATTTGTGTAAAACCCTGACCTTGACTTCTTGAAAGATCTACTGTCCTAAATTCTCAGCCTAGAAATTTACCTGGTCAATTTGATTTCTAATTGATTGTTGTTTATTAAAAGAATTCTGATTTTTGAAAGTGTTTTGTAATTCGAAGGTCTATTAATCAGAATTAAATAGATTACCTTGTAAAAATCACCTTTTTTATCCTTATTTGAATTAAACATAGCATCTTCTTTCTTCTTGTTATCATATTCCAGTACATTCTCTGGAGATACAACTAAATCTATACAGACTTTCCTGATTTTCCAGTCTTTATGAAAGATGAAGAGAGAGGACATTCTCATGTGATTGAGGATCTTCTTCCAGAAAGGCATTTCGTTTTTAGATACAAGAATATTATCCTCCGCTTTATATCTTTCCTTATCAGTCTTTTCATTAAATTCTTCAGGGACGCCATCATCCTTACTAGAGAAACTATGCTCAAGAGATTCTTCATGAACTTGAGGATCTCTGAGATCAAATGTTACTGACTTTTTAATCTTCTTTTTAGATAGAAGTTTTGATTCTTCTCTAGAGTTCTCTTCTAGATCATCTATCTTTTCCCTTGGCGTCTCCAGACTTACATATTTCTATAAAATAATAATTTCAGTTACCAATTCATCTTCTTCTTTGATTGGGATATTCCCTGAGCCTGCCATTTGGAAGGACTCTTCAAGAGCATTTTCTTCAATCGGAGAATGTACTTTCATGGTGAATTCTTCATTTGGATATCTAGAGAGGTAAGAATAAAACTTTACTTGACAATTACAGTCTGTGAAACTTTCTTTTCTGGAACTAACTCCTCCTTTGACTCATTAAGGTTGTCTTTATGTTCTTCTTCTTCATCTATTCTTTCAAGGTCGTCTTCATCATCGTTGCCTGACTTTTTAGACCGATGGAAATTATAGGACTCTTGTCTATCTTCGCTTTCTATTATAAAGACATTCAAAATTACCTTCTTTGTCTTCGTCTGAGTAAGCTTCGAGTATTGGCTTGTAATCAGTTTCGTAGACGGCAACTCGGTCATAGTATATAAGTTTATCGGCTTCTTCAGGGTCGTTCTCCATCATTTTCCGGTTGATAATCATGAGACGCCCGTTGAGCTTGAATATGTCTTTTTCGTGGTGAACGAGTAGTTCTTCCTTGACTGATTTGTTTACTTCTCCAAGGATTATGCTGATGGCTTTGTTTAGTGAGTATCTTTCGATGGCTGTTTCGAACATCTCGAAAATACTCTTCTTGAGCCAGAATGTTCGGGCCTTATCAAAGTTTCCCAACAAGATCGCGAGAAAGAGATTCAGCATGATAATTGTACCGAAGAGAATTAAGGATATGAAGTAGGCTGAGCTGATTTTTCCGCTGGCTTTTATACAATCAAACATTACTTCATTCCAGTTGTCTCCTATTAATACCTCAAAGACTGTAATTGCAGCCCAGTAGATAGTATCGAAGTTTGCTCTAGCCACTTCTCCGTTAGGGTCATAGTAACCATTAGCATCAAAGGTTAGCTTTCCAGCAAAGAATTGCATCCCAAGGAGCGAGTATACGTATATGAACAGGCCCAGCAGAATAACGTAATTTCCAATGGTTCCCATTGTATATGCAATAGAGTCCAAAAGTACTCTTAAATTTCCCGTTCTGAAGAGTTTGAAGATTCTGAAGAGCCTGAATGCTCGAAGGGCACTGACTCCACCTCCGCTACCACTACTGACAAAGACTTCAAGGATGGAAACCAATACTATGACTGAATCAAAAATGTTGAAATAATCCTGAATGAACTTCTTTGGTGATTGCCCAATGATCTTGAGGACTACTTCAATGGCAAAGATAGCTGAAAAGAAGTAGTTAGCTGAATTATACGCATCTTTCTCGCTCTGAGGCATAGGGTATCTTTCTAATGACAAGAATATAGTATTAAATAAGATACAAAACAGGATAAAGGTTCCGAAGAAAGGAATAGTCACAATGAAGTAAAACATTCTGGTAATTTTCCACTTGTAATAGTTATCATCCGGAATTTTTATCTCTGTGTAGATAAAACTAGTGAGAATTCGATTCTTGAGGCTCTGACTCTCACCTTGGTCCTTGAGAAGCCTGTTAGCTTTCTTACTGACAATAAGATTCTCCTCTCTAACAATGAAATAGATTAGCTTGCTAGGAAGCTTTGTTTTCATCCCTATTTCGATAAGTGAAGCCTGATGAGTTGTGTTCTTCACATTTTTATCTAGTTCATCATAATTTTTAAGCATGATGGCAATGGTCAGGTTGATCAGAAAGAATGCTCAAACTACTACAGCGAGCACAAAATATATACTTGTAATATACATGGTGTAGGCATCTTGCATCATATACATGATGTCTGTCCATCCTTCAAGTGTGATGCACTGGAAGATAGTCAGAAAAGCATTAAAAATATTATCAAAATTTGTGAGGCCATAATTTAGTTCTTTGATATCAGAGTCTCTGTAAATGTTGGAAACGCTGACATTACCAAATTTATCAGTAGCTTCGACTAGAGATCCGCATGTTCCGATAGGGCATTTTCTTTCTCCTCAAATTCTAGTGTCATTTGCAATAGCTATCCAGTCACCATTTACTGGGTATTTAGTCTCTCTTCATCTGTAATGAGTAAGTCCTGTGAAGAGATTTACCCCAAGTATAGCAAAAATTAAGAAAAAGAAGAGAGCTAGACTAAGAACACCACCCAACTGAGACACTGATGCAAGTAGAGTCTGGATCAGGATCTTGATATTTTCCAAATTCGTTAAAGATTTTAGTGGCTTGAAAAGTCTGAATGTTCTCAATCCGCTGACGTTAGCCATTTGTGGGAAAGAAGAAAGTAATCCACTTATAACAACAAGGAAGTCCATCCAATTCCAAGGATCTGAGAGGTAGGTTCCTTGCCCTATTATCAATCCTGTCCCTGTGATACGGATAATACACTCCGATGTGAATACAACTGTAAAGAAGGGTTCTGTGTACTCAACAATTTGGTTTCTCCAAGATTTATTCTCCGTATCTGTATAATCCATTATTCCAAGAAGCAATGAATTGATAACTATTCAGGCAATGATAAAGAAATCAAACCAGCCCCATCAGTTGATCCACACACAGAACTTTCTGACAGGATTTTTGTTATCGAGGCAGTTTAGGGACGTTCTTCAAAAAGTGAAAGTCTTTCCATGAGCTTTGAACCTCCTTGGGTCAATCTCTTCATCACTATCCTCTTCCTCTACTGATATATTTTCTCCATTATTTGTACTATGATCCATAGGTTTCTGTATGGAGGAATCTTTGTGAGTCCCATGAGTATTCTGCTTGCGAAATTTCTATAAAATTTAGCCTGTTCCCTACCGATTTAGAGTTCTTCATCGCTTCTCTCTCCATTTCCTTCTGCATTATTTTATAAGCAGGGCTATTTATCTTAGCAAGGCGTATAAATTGCTTCCTGTTGACGAAGATGTTTTTAAGAGATTTGAATTCTTGAATTTCCTTGTCAGTATACTGAATCTCTTGGTTATCGTCAAAATATTTATCATGAGACTTTTTGACCGGGAAGTCAGGGTCAACTTCCTTACTTTCATACTCAAATCCATATGAGATTTCATCTCCAGCTAGAAATGTTAATATTGAGAGTTTTAAGTTGGCTTACGGATTTCATGTTCGGTTTTATCTAGATTTTGTGATTTTAAAAACTTACCTCTTCCTGCAAGGTCATTTCTAGATCTTTTATTTGACCGATCTGCACGAGCTAGAATGGATTAGATCATTCAGGTTCAAAATGATGTGGAATTTGAGTGATTTGGCGTTGATAGAGGGTACTTACCTTGTACATTTTCGAGAGCTTTCCGACTCATTCTGTTTTTGATCCTACAATGTTAAATTATTATATTATTCAATAAGATTTAGAATTTTTGGGGTTTTGGGGTTTTGGGGTTTTGGGGTTTTGGGG